AAATAATCGATGATTTATGACGATACGTCTGCGTCACTAAAAAATCGGCGATTAATCGAGATGCATTTACAGTATTAAAAAAATTGGTGATTAATCGCGATATATCTGAATTACTCAAAAATTTGACGATCAATCGCGATTAATCGTTAACTTTTCTGCAAATCGCGATAAATCATCAAAATTGAGGCGATTTTGACGACATGGGTTGCTGAACTTGTATCAATGTTTGCTGTTGTAATGTAATCAAGGTTAATTGTTTATCGATTCAATCATGAAAATGAGAATTATCTGATTTGAAAAATAAATTTTTCTTTTCAATTCTTACATCGATATATTTTACTACACATTGATCAATACATACAGATTAGAGTCCTGCGCGGGTTTGATTTTTCGAACCCGCACCCGACCCGAGGCCTTTTAGTCGTACCCGTGCCCGACCCGACCCGACAAGGCTCAACCCGAGCTCGACCCGACCCGAAAAGGTTCAACCCGAGCCCGACCCGACCCGAGGATAGTTGGACCCGAGCCCGACCCGACCCGAGGATAGTTGAATCCGAGCCCGACCCGACCCGAGAGATTTAAATTCGTTTATTTTATAAAGATACATCAGTTTATTGCAATATTAAGCATAAAAAATGATAGAAGCTTTATAGCAATAAAAGACACATAGATAATCATGATTGCAAAAAAAAACCATCACAACTTAGTATGATCACATTTCCATTCAAATACATACATTTCAAACAGTTAAGATCGATAATGATCATAACAATAAGTATCGTACAAATATCAATAATACATCTTCAATTTATACAAAACAACTGAAAAATTTCGTAAAAAAATAAGAGAGTCAAGTGATTCTGGTGATATTTGTTGACGTCGAACTTCAAGAATCCGACCTGTTTTACTGAATATTCTTTCAGATACAGCAGAACCTGCAGGTACTGCTAAGAGAGAACATGCCAATAATGATAACCTAAGGAGAATCAAATTTAAATTAATTTATTGAATTTTTCTTGTGCATTTAAGGAGAATGATATAGTAATCAAGAAACTCACTTTTTGTATATGATAGAGTGTTTTTGCGACCGTTGTAAAAGTGATTCTCCTTTTGGGTATGATATTTTCGCTTTAATATAATCATCTACTTTATCCATCGGCCTCTTATCATCATCGTCTGATGATGAGTCTACAAATGCATTAAAAGACTTGAAAACATCGTGTACAGTGTCTATTTTAATACGTTTTTGATGTGTTGAGAAATTGTTGTTGGTACCTGTCTCTGTTGTTTCTTCATCGACTTGTTGATCTATACCTAGAGCTTTTAAAAGTATTCGTATATTTTTAATAACAGCATTACGTTCTGATTTCATTAGACTCTGAGAATCATTGATCAATAGAATTGAGTTTTATTATTCTATGAGTTTAAGACGAACGAAAATAGAGGGCAGAAGCATACATACTCAAAAAAATCTGACCCGATAAAAACCCGACATTTTTTAATTTCAAACCCACACCCGACCCGACCCGACGGCTGACAGACCCGTACCCGACCCGACCCGATAAGATTGAACCCGAGCCCGCCCGCACCCGACAAGATTGAACCCGAACCCGCCCGCACCCGCGGGTCGGGCTCGGGTGCGGGTCGGGTCGGGTCGGGTTGCAGTACTCTAATACAGATTCACTTGAGAATATTCAAAAGAAAATTTCTAGTTTAATATAATAAACAATATACACCTTTTCTTCGTTCTAAATTTTTACATCGAAGAATGACATTTTTTTAGGCATGCTGTTGTCTTTGTTGATAATAGAAGAAAAGTTTTATTTATTCTTGTTTGTACACAATTTTATTTTTCAACCATTTATAAAAGTCTTCCATCAATTCAATTTAAACCTAATCAATAACTTGTAATTGATTTGAACTAAGTTCATCTGTCATCGAAATACTATTTTTGATTAGTTTTAAATCTGTAAATAAATAACATAGGAGAAACACGGTATTTTATTTTGTTATATATTAAATGAATCTTTGTTTCACTTCATCCTATATGAGACGATTGCAAGCCATTTGTACCATCTGACTTCAACTTTTCGTAAAAATTTCATTTTTCGCTAGAATGATTCTGCGTATTGGGGTAGATAGTACTACTCAAGAAATAAACGAGACTGGCAGTTGTCTCACTACCACTATCAAATATAGCCGACATTTCGTAAAACAAAAACCGTACCTCCTCAAAACAGTCGTTTTTCATGAAAAGCATGAGAATTGAGATCAATATGGAGGAAGATAGTCCCTGGATTTTACACATCTAGTCAGATGAGGTTTTCAAAGAGCTTTCGATTCACACAAGATATATCTAGGCTTGTTTCTGTTTTAGTGGAAAACTATCAGTTTTACTGTCAAAAAACGTGACGGGACAAAAAGCGTGACGGGACATTTGATCAATATTTTGTAATTTTCTCCGACATGACAAGCAATTAAGAGCTCAAATTTGGAGTATCCCTTCTATATTTAGCGGCCTACTTTTGCTGAAAATTATTTCGATTATGGTGCAGTAGAACTTGAGAAACATAAAAAACAAAAACCAAAGCGTGACGGGACATTTAGCGAGGAAGTCCGCTGTTTGAGGTCGGAACTTTTTGACTTTTGGTCCAATAAAAAATACTATTGATTTCGTTCAAATGGCATCTTATTTCTTTTTCTCAAGGCTACCTTTCGGTTATAAATGAGTGGGGCTTCATTGAAGTTTTCATTCGGAAAAAAACCGTTTACAGTGTGACGGGACATTTTTGACCAAATCTTCGACCATGAATACCTCGAGCAGGTACAAATAAAATAACCACTACTGAGCTAAATCAAATAGTACATTTTCTAGCGAATCCTACAACGATACTAATAAGTTAAAATAAATTTTAAAAGTATATTCTTAAACAGAAAATAAAATAAATTTAATTAACCTCCATTGCACATGATCATGTGAAATTTCAATGGACTAGTGACATCTTTTTCATGCCCTCTATTGATATATAATAGCTAGATGGCTGATTTTAGCAGTCAAACTAGCCACACTGGTGAAGAATATTTCCTGATAAAATTATTGAATTTGGTTGAGAATTCTGCAAGATATAAGCTTAGCCATGTTTTTTTTGTAAATGGTACAAATGGCTTGCAATCGTCTCATATGCATTTTTTTCTGCATATAACAATAAAACAGAGGGAGTGGGTGTGACTGTCGGGGTGTAGGCGTGGATGTGGTTGGGTGTTATCTTTTCTTATACGCACATCCATACCCACATCTACATTCACGCTCATCCCCAGCGGCGTTTCTGCAGGTTTTTTGTGTAAAAACACGGTTCCAGAAGAACTCAACGAAGCAAAAAATTTAGCTGTTTTCATATAGAAAATCTTCCATCTTTTCGACTTTTTCAAACATTAAAACTAAATTTGAATTCTCAAAACGTACTTAAAAGGTAGAGGACACTGAAAAGCATATGTAGAACCGAAAAATCAAAACCTAAACAAAAAACTAAAATTTTGGGTCAGGAAAGGAAGGATCCTTTAATTAACCTTTTAAAAATTGTTAGGACAGCGCCCAATCACCTATCATTTTCTGGTTATGCCACTAGTCTAAAATCAGAAAATGCTTGAAATCGTAAAGTGAGACTAACTCGTTGATTTTGATATTGGCACATATTATCACAATAACTAGGTGGACACAGAGATGTTTCACTAGTCAAAATTTGATTACTATTTAACCAAACTCGCAAAGGAAGGCCACGATGACAATGTTGTTCATATCGACGAATAGATAGAGTAATAGATGAGCGTGTATTCCAATCTTGAACATTTAATTATTTACCTGACTGTTTTTGATTTATTAATGGAAAAAATTGCAATCTTTGGTTTCTTTAGATCAATGAGACGACCACAAAGAAAATTTTGAATATCGGTACGAAATAATGCGTATCCATAACCACAGATAGGAGTATTTCTGCTTTTTTTTCGATCATATTACATAATAGTTCAGTATCTCCATGCAAACACTGAATCTTATAAGCACGTAGGTCACGAAATGTTGTACAAGTTTGGTTAATATTATTCTTGCAGTAGAAATTTTCACAGCTACTTTGACGTTTATGTGATTGACATAACTTTGATTTATCAGTAGCACCAGCACAATCGATATTTCCATCATTGACTTTTTCGATCGATAAACACATGAGTTGATATATTTTAGGTGAAACACACGTGTGATGATGAGGTGAAAATTTTACTAATGGTGATGGATCACAATTAACTTCATCAGCTTCATTAAAGCAATTTCAGAATCCGTCACAATGTGCATAAATATTATTACGTTGCCAATATTCATATTCGGTTTCATCGATTTCATTTGCTCTATTAACAATGACAGGTGCCAGTTCAGTAAAACTCTCACAAATAGTTGGAAATGAAATTTGTTTTCTAATGTAATCAAGACTAGAAATTTCAATAACGCTTAAATCATATTCATCAAATCCACAATCACATTTACCGTTTTCGATTAATTTGGAAGAAATACACATATTTTTCGTCGTACATTTGAAAAGTGCTTCAGATTCAGTTATGAAACAAGTTCCATTGATTAAAGAACATTGTTCATTATCTTTATAACCACAATCAATCATACCATTGCAGAGACGATGTGTTGAGATACACTTTGAAGAGTTAATACATTGATACGTTCGTGAACTATTACAAACTGTAGAATCATTGTACAGATAGATTATAGTGATCAACACAGTCGAATATGATAGTGATCGATAGATTTCATCGAGTTCTATCTGACACAAACATTTTCTCAAGTAGTTAGTACAAGTCTCTGAACGAATATTTGGTGGAAATACTTCGTTTGTCATAAAAAAAAACAGTATTGCAAAAGTGATTTTTTGCACTTTTAAGCCGTTCTTCCGGATAGAATTTTTTCGAAATATATGCATTCTACAGCATATTCGGTGCTCTATCTGGCACAATCAATATCTTTTCTGAAATAAGTCTATGGACGAATATTTCACCAAAAAACCTGAGTCTGCTGCTAACTTTATCTAAGTGAAAACGTTCGCAGTCGTTTTTGTTTTGTGTATATCTCCGCCTAAGAAAATAAAAAGACCTTAAATTCTTTTAAAGATGTGCCGTGAAAAGCTTTAAAAAACCTGTGCAAATAAACCACAATTGAAAAACAAAATAGTCTTCAAAACATTTTTATCATGCTCAATAGGATGAAAAGTAGCACACTATCTTGTAGGTTGTTCATTTGAAGTATCAAGTAGGCCGTCAGAACAAGTCAATAAGGATTTGTTCAGACATTTTTTGTAGAGGTTTTCATGATGCATCTTTTAATAAAATTCAGCCTTCTATCATTTATCTAAGCTGAGATATGTGAGAAATAAAAATAAATGTTGCAAACATTTTGGCACACCTGGTATAGATGAGTGTCACATGATAAATAAGAGAAAAAAGAATGAAAAGAAGAAAAAATGACGTATATATAACTGCGTATGTCACCTTGATGAGTACATAATATAAATTGGCGTCACAATTTTTTTTTGCGAAAGTCATGCGTTTATTTTTCTGAATAGTATATATATATATATATATCCCCATAAGTATTACAATAATCATAGAATTTTTAATTCAAGTGGAATATTGAATATTACTAAAATGGGTCGTTTTCATTATTGGTTAATATTTATGATATTATTTCTTATCACAAATAATCTTGTTATTGTCGATGGAGGAACTATAGCCTGCGATTGCAAATGTTCTAATGGTCAATGCATCCCTGAAAGCAACGTTGCGAGATGTAATACGAAGTGTTTACACTGTAATACCAATTGTGATTGTTGCCTTTCTTGCTGCCCTCCTGTTTTGAGACCAAATCAACCACCCTGTTGTGATTGCGGCTTCGATGGCTGAGAAATACGTTTTTCAAATAGAAAATATTATTGCAAATTTTCAACCAAGCCATTTCGAATATCTGTCGCTATTACATTTATTGTTGATTATTACAAAGGAACTAATTAATTTTTTGTATATATTTTCATATTTCAATATAATTCTTATCATGACTGATTTATGCTACTATATTTATTAGTTGTAGATTTAGATTTTTAATAAATAATAATAATCGGAAAGGAAAATTCGTAATCGATGAAAGCATTTCCGAAGACTAGATGATATATAATATGCTCTAAATCAAAGATTTGGAGAAGAATAACATCGCAGTTCTCCTGTAAGCATTAAAGGTGCCTATCAATAAAATGGGGTGTGAGTGTGAGGGTGTGGATGTCGGTGGGTGGAGGTTTGGGTGTGGAGTGTGGGTGTGGAGTGTGGGAGTGGGTGTGTCTGGATGTGAGTGTCGGGTGTGGGTGTGTTTGGATGTGGATGTGAGAGTGGGGTGTGGATGTTCATCTCAGCAGTACCCACACACACCCACACCCACCCACCCACACCCACCCACCCACACCCACATTCACCAACACCCTCACATCCACACCTACATCCTCACACTCACACCCCCACACCCTCACCCTCGCCCCCACATCCGCACCCCCACACCCTCACACCCATATCTACACCCATAGCCACACCCTCTTCTTTAAAAATGCATGAAGAGTCAAGCAGTGCTCTTCTAAAAAAAGGATTCAAATATTGTGTCAACCATCTGCAACTGGCAAAAACCGGTAAATTCCGGTCGGTTGAATGACTTCGACCGGTTCGGACCGGACCGGTTTTGCCAGATCGGTTACAACTTTGGCGTGGATATAGAGAAAAAACAAAAGAGCATGGAAACGCACGGAAAGTCTTTCCATTTTATTGTGCTAATAATTTTTTTTTTGACCCTTTAAGATAAATAATATGTTTCTTTTTCAAATGATCATATTCATATTTGACAAAATCAAAATTTGTGTCTGGCCATATTAAAAATTCCTTTTCCTCTGGAAAATTAGACACGCTTGAGACATCTCTACCACAACGGATCTGGATATAAAGATCGTCACTTATACTTTGATCGAGGTCTATAATGAGCAAAGTATTGCCGTATATTTCAGCCAAATTTCGATTTCTACTTGTCGATGTAAACGATGTGAAGGTGATGTCTTCTTGCTCTTTCATGAATTCTTGTCGTTGTTCATCTGTCAGAAGAAGTCCGCGATAAACAACTAAACAGTCTGATGTTTCATCTTTATGTCTCAGATAGTTACGTAGCAAGTAGCAGAAGGATCCTATCGTTTTTATTTGTTCACGAGTAATTGTTTCGATATCGCGAAGGACACGATTAATTAATTTGTACCAGAAAGACTCTTTCGTGTAGAGATAGACAAGAGTGTCACCAATTTCCGGTTGGATTGATAAGTGAAAAGGATCAGAAACTGCATTCACAGCATGATGTTTGACATTTTGTAATTGTTGTGCTAACCGTTGAGCTTCCTTTTCTTTACCAAGAGCAGTTCCTTCTGTAATTACTCCCTGAATAATATCTTCGATAATGTCAGCGGTTGTTTTTCTTGTAGTCCCAATTTCAAATCTTTTATATACTTCCGAAATATTATTTGCAAACAACCAGTTCTTCCATGAATTAGTGGATTCTAGCTTTTGGTTTAAGGATGTTGTTGCTCTAACGAGTGTTATTGGTAATGAAAATCTTTCTTCTCTCAAATGAACATTGCTGCGATCTCTGTCAAGTTGAACACGTTTTATTGGACGCTGTTTCTGTGTGACATCATCTTTCTTAAATTGAACGTGATGTTTCAAGTTGATAATATAGCCACCATCAATTTCGATGTCGAATTTATTCGCGTTCAAAGCATCTTCGATAATTTCATTTTCCACGTCTGTGTACTTCTGCCATTCTTCAACAGTCCAAGGATCTTGTGCTAAATTCCAGTACCATTGAAAATTACATGCACGAAGTAATACAGGAGCACGAGAGGAGGCAGAAGCAGAAGCCATTTCTTTTTCCGTTCTCTTTCTGAGGTAAAAATAATAAGTTTACATTGTATGGAATGATTTCTTTTCTTTTCTGCCTTCTCTGTTTATATTCCTATATTTCCACGCGAACAAGAAACTTCCATTAGAAATGAGTTGATGCAACGCAGTTCTATAAAAGTGTATGTTTTCATTCTGAGTGTGGATGGGTGTGGGTGGGTGTGGACGTGGATGTGGTTATGAGTGAAGCAAAGATCCACACCCCACACCCCACACCCCACACCCCACACATCCATACCCACACCCATCCACTCCCTGAGCTCGTCCGAAATTCATTCTGTTTGAGTCAACGGTTGTGATTCATTCTGTATCCACGGGTAGGTTTCTCTTGTGCTTGGAAACTTCCAACATGATCAATGACAGGATCGAAAAAAAGTGCACTTGCTTCCTCGCGTCACTTGATTACGATGAAATATAAATTTTATTACGTGAAAATGAGAGCACATGAGAACATGTAAAAAACGCAATGGCTGGCAACATGACTAGCTTTTCGATACGATGGGAAACAGAAGCAGACTACTCTATCTAGGCTGTTACATTATGGTAATTTGCCAATAGAGGAAACAGGCTTCTTTTGCAACTTTATGAACAATTTTTATAACTGGAATTTCGAGAAACTCTTATCGTATTTCTTGTAAAGGTGTGATCTGAGAGATATGCGCAATTGATTGAAAATAAATACTATAACACACAATAAACTGAAAAACTCGGGTTCGTGCTCGGTTTGAGCAAGTTAGACGATTTCTCTACAAACGAGTATCTGGGAGATCAATTCAATCAGAAACAAAACAAATTTTATCTTATCAAAGTAATCAAAATGAAATGATTCTACGGTATAGTTCTCGTCTCTGTCATTTTTTTTCTACAAATGAAGCCTTTCTTATGATATTTTGGTCGGTCAGCTAGCTGGTGAAACTTTCATCTGTAGTATAGGAAAATACTTATTAAGCTCATTCTTTCGGTCTTTGATGTTTTTCTCTTCCTGTCATTCATTTAATCTTTATTCTCTCTGTCTCGGTTGAATTCTTCCTTTTTCTTTGATGTATACAACGAAAAGTGATTCATATTTAGATAAAGAAAGCGTACGCACCAGTAAAGATTAAACTCTGTTGCTCTTTCGATTGCAACGCAAGCAAAATATAATGACGATCAAAAAAAGAAGTGACGTGAATAAGACGATGACTACAGCGTCCATTCGTCAGCAATACTGCATAAATAGTTTGTTTCGTTCTTCAAGATACGTTATTAGCGTGCGCATGAAAAACAGAGAAAGTTGCAACTCGTCACGTGACGATTTGAATTTTTCAGAAAAAAACAGGGCTTTCGTAACGCTAAAAATAGAGATATCCGAGAAAACAGGGATATCGTAACAAAATTTACAGGGCAATCGTAGCTGTTATTTACGGGGAGTTCGTAACAGTTGCAGAGTTTTCGCAACGAGCCAACAGGGATTTCGTAACAAAAATTAAGGATATCGTAACGAAGTCACATATCAAACCACCGGTTACGATCACCCTGTAAAATTCGTTACGATAGCTCTGATTTTTTGTTACGAAAGCCCTGATTCTGTCGTTACGAAAACTCTGTTACGGGCTTTCGTACTGTCAATTCGTTACGAAAGTCAGACAAGAAAAATCGT